GGGGAAGACTCTTCCAATTAAAGTCTGTGCAATCCTTTTCCAAACAAAAATTTCATTTAAGCCCTGAATTAACAGGGCAAAACAGTAAATCCTTAAGTTACAGTTAAGTTTACTGGAAAGGCACATCTGAGTATAGGCATCTAGTAATTTTTCTATATTTATCTGATTCTAGTTCAGAATAACACAAAGGGAGGCTTTTTTTAATTCACCTAAAAGGAAAACTCTGAAGCCAGTTACATCATCAGCTAACTATTAAAAACATTTGCATTTTTCCTTTGGCTGAAACCATAAAAAAGGATATCTACTCAAGAACGCAAAAAGGTGGTTCAGATTTGTTTTAAATGCTGAGTAATGAAAGGCTGGGAATTAGGTAATTTAACTCTTTTCATGACTATTTAATCTAAGTAGAGAAACTTATTTTTTCCCCTCGATTTGCTTTACTGGACTAGAAGTGTTGCAAAAGAAAGTAAACACATTTTGAAAAAATTCTTGAAGGCAGACTGCAAAAAGACTTACCTTTTTAAAAACTTTTCCTGATGGCTGGATTTCATCTTCCTCTTTTAGGATTTCACGTGTTCCCAAGAGTTTTTTGTCCTTAAATTTAGTTTTAGCATATTTAAAAACTTTGTCGAGTGTATCACACCCAGGATATAAAACTGAAGCTAAGCAATGTAGACTGTTAACAGATCTGTACGCACCCCCAGGCTTATTATTCACAGGTTTGGCTTTAACCTGCTTGGCTTTTGCTATAGCCTGCCTTGATCCTGAAAATATGTACCACGGAATGTAGGTTACAAAGGAGTACACCAAGATTATAAAGTTTATAAACTGTAGAAGAACAGGGTTGATGTTATGCTTCAACTTCATTTTGGCTGCTTGAGAAGGTTACAAGGAAGAGTTTAGAAACATGGATCAATCAGACAGGCATCCAAAAAGACCTGAAAAGAGAAAAGAAAATATTACAGGTAAACTCTATAGCTGATGGCAAGGGGGTTATTTTCAAACATATTATTGCAATCCATATCAAAGTAGGTCTTTTTATGCAGAAATCAGGCTAAAAGTCTTAACCCCTAACACAAATGAAACAAGACACTGATACATGAGGAAAAACTCTTCCACTCCCATTTAACAGACTGCAGTACTTACTAATATTTTTATTTCTTTGGATGCTACACAACACTAACACAGAACCTAAGGAATTCAGGACCTCGGTTTATAATTAAATGACATGTGAATGGCATGTATTTATCTGAAAATGTTACGTGATCATACAATTTAAAAGATCCTCTCCAACCACATTAGAATACTGACGTGTATCTTTACTAGCAGTCTTTATGACCTTTGACTGTAAATCATCAACCTCCATACAAGCCCTAAGAACACAAGTAATGCCACAGCTCTGTACCTGGGAACCCCAATCACTGAATTTGTTGAAATGCTTTCCAAGCGTTATACAGACTGGGACACCTGTGTAAGAGAAGGAAATGGCACCCTTCTTCCATGAAGGCCCCGCATGCAACAGAACTGCTGGATCTTTTATTCCTAGGGACTTCCCATCAGTCCTACAATTCAGCCACAGTACCAGTACGCAATGGGCAGACTTGTTATATAACTATAACGATAAGTTAACTAATATTTGATAAATACTGGAAAATGGCTTAGAAATATCCCGAAAATCCTAGCAAGACCAGTATGAGGAGATGTGTAACTTTTTCCAGAGTCCGTAAGGATGCCAGGACATTCACTCTGACTTTGTTTAAAGCATCATTTATCATATCTAAAAACACAATGGTGCAACTTTCTAATGTATTCTACTGTGGAGGCAAGAAATTATGCCATCTATCTAAAAGATTAAAAAAAAAACTCAACAAAATGAAGTCATTATGGAAAACAGGGACATTTGTCGTAATGGCTGAAGATTAATTTCTGCAATGGTGAATGAGCTACCAGTTATAAAAATCAGTGTTTTGCGCCTAAAAGCAAAATGAACTATAAATACACTTCACTCAGTTAACTTTTCAAATGTATTGGTACAACTGCATTAAAAGCAACACCATGAATCAAGCAACTAATAATGATGTGTACATAAGATGCACAACTTTTAAAATTTACTTCATTTAGAAAGAGCTATCATTCCTAAGATACAGTGCCAATACGATATTATTCTTTGCTGATGTCTTACGTTGAATGACTCTTGGAAAACCCTAATGAAAAGAAATTTTAGTTGAAAAAGTAATGTTTAAAATGTGTAAGATCCTTGAGTAGTAATGGAAAGAAACCTTGCTTCATGAAATCTTAGATTTGTAGGTCCTTTTGGGAACAGATCAATCTAATATTCCTCATTTGTAGGATGAGATTAATTCCACCTTTTTCTAAACCGTACAATTTCTCAAAACTCGAAGCAAAACTATTTCACCATCAACTTATTCCTTAACAAGCTGCTGTAACCTCATCATTAACACTGCATCGTTACAGGCAGTTCGAAGGAATCAAGCAACTTCAAGGTCTATTCTGCAAAGCACCCAGAGACACATATCCAAATAAAGCACAGGAGCTCCCACAATAGGCACTTACTGAATCAAGCAGCAGAGGGCGAAAGGGATTTAAAAACCTAAAAAAAAAAATTTGAACTGTATATATTTTAATTTTCCAATCAAAGGCAAAAAGCAATGACAAATTAAAAAAACCTTAAATAGGCTAAAGGGCAAATTCAGTAATCGTTTGAAGAGACTTATGTTCTTAGGCTGTCACTCAAGGATACTTAATGGAAATAATCATGTGCCAGCCAATAAGCTACTGCAGTCCAGAAAAATTATGCTGTTGTTGATAGCAGCATAGAACATGATGTTTTAAAGCTGAATCCAGAGCTCACACAGCAAAAGTTTACCCATTTTTCAAAAAGGTATACATTGTACTATAACTTTGTCTGGCCCAATGTGGGGGGAGGACACATTTTTTTCCTCCTTATAAAGCTGGAGAACTTCTCTGTGCCGACAAAGTAGAAAAAACAGAATTTAACCAAACACTGTTACAAGCAAAAATGAAGGCAACTGATTTAATACCTTTTGGAAAATTGTTCTCCAAATAAATTCCCTGTCTGACAAACAATTGAGCCTGTCCAAAAATGTTCTCTCTGGGTTTCATGACTTTCCCTGGTTAGAGAGGCACTGAGCCCTTCTAGAACAGCAGCTTCCCATTTGACTTTGCAGTTATCCCAACAGCTTTATTCCTGCCTCAGAAGGAGAGGAACCTTTTCCACCATTTCTAAAATAACCACGTCTCATGTCAAGCTCTCTCTTCTGGCTTATCTGAAGACTTGCACATAACCCCCAAGCCTGGAAATGTTTGCTTTGAATTGCAAATCATAAATTGTGCTATGCCCACCCCTTCATAAAGGCTGCATTGCAAGAAAGGGTCTAAGGAACACTGCAACAGGACAGACTAAGGGGGAATATTTCAGAATGTCACCCCGGTTCAGAAAAGTTAGCATCCAGCTCTAGAACTCTATTCTGATGTACATCTGTTACCCTGAGTAAATTGCTAATTATTTCAGTTTCTCCTTCAGTAAAGTGAGGCTGTTACAAGTCACCTATTTCAAAGTTTCCTTTAAAATTAACACTTATAAAAATATTTTTTCACTTAAAATGCAATTTTTAAGGATAAAAAAAGTATTTTTGCAAATGCAGTTTCTTGCCTTAATGGCCAAATAAGACTTCATTTTTCTTTGTTTAAAATCTTAGGAGATAACAAACTTTAGCAAGAGAGAGTGCTCCTGTGCCAGTCTCTAACAATCTGGCAACTGATTTCAGACTGTGATATTTACAGAGCATCTATGCTTGTAACTAATTGTAATCATAATTACAATTGTAATTACCACTATAACCGGGAGTGGGAAAAGTGCAGTCCCTTTCTGAACAAGCAAGAAGAATATATTCTAGTATTCTCATTAGAAGGATAAGTTCCAATATCTTTGTAGGGTAATGGTTCTAAAGAGAGGTGAGCCACGACACAAAGGAAGTTTCTTGGTGGCAATGTAAAGGCTCCACCTCTTTCCCCGTATAACCGAAGAACACAAGATGCATATTTGTTTGCTATGTTGCTGAAGAGAAAAATTCAAGGAAGCAAAGGAGATGCATTGTTTCAGTTTAAAATGCCTTCATCCAACAGAGTTATCACTGCCATTCCCAGTGTAACATCTAAGTCAGCTAAATGGATCACTAAGCATCCAATAAAAAAAAAAAAAACCAAACCAAAAACATTTTGATGACAATGTAGAAGCAAAACTTAACCCTAACTTGAGACTGCAGCGCTAGCAGTAAGACAATTATCTTTTTCTTTTAGTGCAAGCAAAACCAATGAAGCTGAACATGACAGTAATTTTGGTTTTATTTTTTTTTTTAAAATAAAAGGTCATTTAACCTCTGCCCAAAAATGCAGTTTTAATGACATTGTAAAAGAAAAAGATTGCTATCACTAAGATACAATGTTTGTACATCCATTTTTCTCTGTAACAATTCCTATTTTGAACCTTTAATGTATGGTATTTTAAAACCTCAAGATGAAAATACAAAACTAATAATCAATTTGTAGAACTAATCTGAAAATGAAAACTTCTAGGGAAATTTTCAAGGTTATATAAGATTTGAAAGACTTGAAATGGATGCACTGTTTGCTGTTTAATTTTCTGCCTTTAAAAAGCACCCAAAAAACCCAAAACAAAACTCTCTGAAAGACTTAGTGGAATACTATACTGGGGCTTTAAAGTATCATTGAAATACAATTTGTGGTCACCTCATTAGTTTTGGAAGTATATGACTGCTTTTGACCATAAAAAGAGCATAAGTGAACTCAACATCTTGGGGCAGGGAATGGAAAACAGAGGACAACAGGACCCTAAGCAGTTTTAGTAAGCATTAGTTAGACTATGACACTGCGAGAAAGTCCACTGCCTTTATAATACCGGAATTTTGTTCTTTGGTAACTCCTGCTTAATCACTGACAAAGAAAAATACATGGCACATGAAAGTATCTTTAACTTAATGGTTCGGTCTACAGATCAGCTGTAAACACTCAGGTTCTTACAGAACATGCATCCGTTCTGGTTTCACATAATCCTGCTGGGGTTTTTGAGGAATCAGCGTTCAAACCCTGACTAGCAATGCAGGAAAGGTTGGCAGATTAAATCCTGGAGGAAAGAGCTACTAATTTACGCAAGAATACAACTTATAGAAAAACTGTGCAAGTGAATGTTTCGGCACACACATAATAGCTGTTCAGTTCATATGTAATTCTGTTTCATGAAGCAGTCACCAAATGGGAAACGGTAAGATCACAAATAAAAAGTTACACACTTTTTTCAACAGCAAAGAGAAGCAGCAACCAGCACACTCATTTGTGAGTCTGAAGTAAACTAGCAGTTTTCAGGACTGATCCTGCTTTATACATAATCAGTGATTTAGCCTGATATACTACTTATACTAATACTGTTACACCCTTTAGTTTTAGAAGAAAACTTTTGTTAAATGAGGAAAAAAAAAATCCTTAAAGGAATGTGTTTACTAATTGACCTGCTTATAATAATTACACTACAATAAAAGCATGAATTAACAAGAAAAAAACCTTATGCAACTTCTCATCGGGGCAGGTACAGGTACAACAGCCAATACAAGATGTTCCCATCTCAGTTTACTCAACAGGAGCTGTCACAGGCAACTGCATGAAATCTAATGGAAAATCCCCATTAAATATAGCAATTATAAAACACATCCTCTGTTCTTTCACTTGTCTTTTATTATAAATAAATAAAACCTTTTGCTCATCTAATACTGCACTGTATCACCTTGGTGAGTCTAGGCCCACTACATCTAAATTAAAACCAGCTGTAACACACAACATAGTTAGGCATAGTTCTTACTCAAGTCCAGTATAATCAAGGTG